CCTTTTTTCGCTTTGTATACGTGCTTATTCATACGCAGTTTATTTTCTGCTCGAACGACAGGTTCAGCGTGGTATAGTGGCGTTTTCTTTAGGAACAGTTCGCGAAGGGTTGATCGTAAGAAAAAAGAAAAAGGAAAGGAAAGGAAAGGAAAGGAAAGGAAAGAAAGAATGGGACAGAAAAGAAGAAAAGGGAATTTCACAAAATGGCGAACAGCGATCCTTTCGACGGAAGGCGACGAAAAGTATACAATAAATCTGCGCGTGTGTGTGGGGTATTTGTGTATACGTGTACGTGTGTACATGTGTATTACTGAATACAATGATATTATATAGATGACACGTGGCTCTCTCTTATACAATTATACAAGCAATTAACAATTGAACTCTATGTAAATGTATGAACGTGTGTCAGTGTATATGTATATGTATATGCATGTACGTGAAAGTTCTTTAGGCAACGCACCACCACTCGTACATACCTATGCTTGATAATGATAATGATCGATTAATTAATTACAAATCGAATAACGGTGAATCGATGATGATGATGATGATGATGATGATGATGATGATGATGATGATTAATCAATAATAGTGGTAATTTATCTCGCCGCTAAACGCTTCTCTACCCGATATGTGTATGTTAGTCGACATCGTTAACGTTCATTCATACGAACACAAGTGACACATCGATACATCATCGTCATAGTTACCATTCGTCATTTGTATCATAATATGCGTAGAAATTAATTCATCATATTTATGTATAATATACATTTGAAAAAATCACAGTTACTTAAAAACATCGCTTAGTTTCTCGCTTTTAGCCCCTCCCTCACTCTGTCATACTCCATTCGCGCTTAGCCATTCATACTCATACTTTTATAATCATCTAATTATTTATCTATCTATTCGGCTTTCACTCGATCGATCGCTTTTGTTATACTCTTTAGTTTCTTCATCTCCGTCTTTTTTCTCCGTCTGCGCGCACGTAAGTATCTCGTTGAACTCTTCGCCAACAAGCGCAACGAACGGTCTAAGAAGTAATTTCCACAAATGTGTTACATAGTCACGTATGCCTAACGTTCTTTACCTTTGTCTTCCGCTAGAAAAGATCTTTCGTGGTAAATTAACCCTCTATAATACCAGATAGTATATTTGTATAATATATAATATTTAATATATATAATATATATTGTAAATCTTATATATTTTTCTGACTATACAGCATAAAATATATCAATTTTCTGGTTTTTGTGTCACTTGGTGAATGCAAGACTTTAAGAAGATCTTCGATTCTCCTTTCTCGTGGTTGCCATTCGAACAGAAGCGTGTAATTAACCAGATAAAGCGAAAGATAAATTCAGTCATAGAGGGTTAAAGTCAATATTGCAACGTTCGAGAGATGTTTATGCTTGTACAGATTTCTTTTGAACGTTTATTTAAAACTTAAACGTATTCCTTACGCGTGTTACATTCGTATATTTCTCTCATTATCAGCGACCAGGAAATTAGTCGATGCTCGTAATAAAAAATTATCATAACTCTCTTTCCTCTTGTTTACTTTTTTTCTCCTTCCCTTTTTTTCTTTTCTGTTTTTTTTTTCTTTTTTAATTGGATTGTAACATATGAAACGTTTATTTAGAAGATGATATAGTCAAAATATTGAGAATGAAAGAATTAATTCGCTACTTACACATACATTAATTTACTAAGAAACGTACATTGTAATTAGACATGGAATAATAAACAATAAAATTCAACTCGTCATTAATTGAAATTTATAGCTAAAAGAAATTAACAATGTACAGCAGTTCATTAAGTTTGCAATTATATGTTTTGGTCCTCCCTCTTTCGTTTCTGCCATTTTTTCATAGAATTAGACTAATTTTCCCACTGAAAGACAGATAGATCTAGAGAAATATTCATACAATCTAAGACTATTTAGTCTGGTGATAAACTGTTAAACAATTCTTAACAAATTTAAACAAATAAATAACTTTCGTAAACAGCTTCATAAATGGAACATAAAGCATCGTAATTACTCATAAATAATTCTTTTACTCGGACGATGCTTTTACTTTAACGAACACTTTGCTGATTAAAATCATTTAAATAAATGAAATATTCTAATATTATTTGGAAAAAGTCTCATATGCTACGATCCAATGATTTTTTTTAATTCGACTAATTTAATCTTTTAAAATAAGATGTTTCTTTTTTCTACATAACTGTATTTTTACGTTGCTTCGCAACATTAGTCATTAGCAACGTTGATCATACTCCTACGACTTGTCATGAAAAATATCTGAATATACTACGTACGAAAATACAAAAGAAATTTCTTTAACACGTTAAATGCCATGGAAATCATTGGTGATCTTCAATAAAATATTAAATATGTTTGTATATTTCAACTTATCTGTTGCAAATAATATTTCAACAAAATACCTATCATATAATAATAAAATTCATGTTGGCGTCCTGGACCAAACATGCAAAATGGCATTCGACGTCTTAAGAAATAATTTAAGAGAAACATTCTTAACTGGCATTCACTATTTCGAAAAATGACAATAAAATTATTAATTTTATAAGAAAGTCAAATCTCACTCCTCTAAAAAAAAAAAAAAAAAAAAACAGTAGTCAGCCAACGATAACGTTAGAGCATGTTAAAAGCCTATCATTTCTCCAAAAATTCTCTTTTACGTTAAAAATCATTAGCTGAAATTAATCGTGAGACTTCTCTTCTTTAATTACTTTTAATATTTTTTTTCCCTTTTTCTGTTTTTGTTTTGGAATAAATTTTTCCAAGTACACGATGTCGCTTTTACAAAATCTAGAAAACTACGACTGGAAACTTCACTGAATTTATATTTCACAAATGTTTACAATGAAACGTGATGACATTTATTCAATCGTCTTTGCCATCGACGATGAAAATTGAGAATCTCTGGGAAAAGAGCAGAAAATAAACATGTAGGAAAAGTTCATTTCTCTTGAGACAATATCGTTGAATAATTATTAGAATTGCTATACGAGAGAAGGATATTTAGATTCAACGAGAAAAATAAAGTCACGAATTCCGAAAACATTAAGCTTCCGAAAACATTTACCTCGACACTCATAAAAATCGAATGACGACCAAAAAGGAAGAGAGTTCGAACGAAAATAAAGAAGAGGGAATGGAAATGAGAAATATCTACCGCCTGGATAACATCAACCTCAAGATTTTATGAAGAAGAGAGTAAACATCGAGCTGAATTCCTCACACCTGATTCCTGATATCGAAATGAAGATTTAATATTGTAATATTGAGGATACCTCGGCGCACGATGATTCACGTTTCTCCATTATTTTATTTTTACACGTACTCTAGGGAAATAATTTAGAACGAAATCGATCGAATAGTTCTTTTACTCTCATTTGCGTTTTTTCCATATAGGTCAGGCATAGGAAAAAATTCAATTTTCTAAACTATATTTCATTGTATGAGAACTTAATTTCGTAGAAATTAATATGGAGAAATTAATATAGAAATTTTATAAAAATATTACATATTTATCTGGAGATATAAAATTTATCCATTAGTTTTAAATGCGAAAATTTATATTTTTATAAATGAGATGTTGCGTGATGGAACACCGTGTTTAAGAAATAAGAAAAACATTTTCTTTTCCAAAAAAAAAAAAGAAAAAAAAAAGATAAAAAAATGTGTATAACGAACCTTCTTCATCTCTTTTTTATCCGCAATATAATTTGGAATTTAGATGATCGATTGCGAAGCATTGGATGTTTGGAATTTAAAACTGTCAACTCGATAAGAACGATCGTCGATGAAAGAAGAGTCGAACAAAAATTAAACCTTGGCAGTGTTGGCATAAAGAAAACTGTCACAAAAAACTGAATGTAAAATATAAGTCTCGAAACGCGATTCTATACATGTAATACAATATTGATTAATGTTTATATACTTGGTTGTTCATTGATTAATTTAAATTTAAATAATAGAATTATATAATATTATAATTCTAATATATTATTAATATAATTATATTATAATTCTAATATAGCAATACAATAATATTTGAAAATCTCAACTACGAGATAATCAATATAAATTACTGTTAAATAATTGGCCAAATTTCTTTTAATTAAATTATGCTACAACTGTCTTTTTCATCTCTAACTTTTAACTGTCCTGTTTCTGTATTTATATTTCATTGTTACGAATTACTTTTTTAGATAATAAAAAATGCATGTTCACTTTAAAAAATTCCATATATCAATTATTTTTCTAACAAGAAAAATATAATATAGAGCTGTTCATTTTAGAATTTAAATGTTATAGTATCCTTGATTACAGCTACGTAAAGATTCAGCGATTCTCTACGCTGAACAGTAATTAAAGTATCACAAATGAATTCACGATTTCTCAGAAGTGTATTGTCCGTATCCTTAAATATGTTAAGTATAATAGGAGCGATGAATCGAGTCGTAAACGATTATAGAAACACTTGCGGATGACGTTGAAGATTCACCGCCCGCACTGGATAATATAGTACATTTGTTTTCGACACAATAATCACAATGAAATCGTTAATACAAATGCGTTTGTGTATATATATATATAATTCATTTTATATATATAATGAAGGTGATCTCGAAATCTCCGAAACTCTATAAAACAATTAGTACTGTCACATTATAGCCCTTTTTATATTGAACAACCCTTTTGTGAATAAAGTTTTTTCATATTTCCAAAATATAGCGGAAATAATCACAAGTACTAATTTTTACTGAAACACCCTGTGTATATATATACATATACATATACATATATATATATATATATATATATATATATTATATATGTGCATATATAAAGAATTTAAGTAAACGAGCATCGCTAAATCATCCCTTGTGTTTTTAACATGAACGCGTGATTACCTAATTATTGAAGTCATATATTTTTTAATTTTTTTTCTTTTTTTTTTTAGTACGAAATTATACCTCGAGAGCTGACATGTCATCTCTAGAGATTAAACCCTATCTAAATATCTTTTACGCACTAAATGTTCACTGAGGATAAAAAGCTGAGGATTAAAAAACGCGCTAGTGATGGCAGTAAACTTCATTCGGTGTTAGTGTCATCGTTGATTTAATGATATTTAACGCAAACGACGACAGCAAGCGCGACTCAATTGAATTAAAACATCGATCAAGAATTCTATTCCATTAATGCTAAGATCAATTATGTACAAAAATTTGTTTTATATATTACATGACAATTTCGATCCGCCGTTAGAATTAATATTCGCCGGCAGATACCCGGCAGTTGAAGGAATGGTGTCGAGCGCCATGCACCTTCCCTTAGGAGAGAACGTTGACCTCGCGAGGTGAACTACACACGTTTAACACGCTACTCGTCGAGTTAGGCGTGATCTGACTTCGAGCTTCGTTCTGTGCCTGCCGTATCGCCTCCTTGTACGGGCCTCTTTTCTTTTTATTGTATCGCGTCTAAAACACACAATGATCGATAATCATTACACTGCTAATTTACTACTCTGCAACAAATGAGAAGTTAAAATCAAACAATAAGCAACGACTTCAGATTATTCTACTTTTAAAATTAGATGAACTACTTTCTTCAAATTATGAACGGATAAATTAGATATATTTACCTTGAATGTTTCTAAAAATGGACTCAACTGGTCGCACGACATTAGAGAACTTGTCGAGGAACCGTACCAAGCGACGTGGGCCTGTGGTCCAGACGATGTACCATCTTCTTTACAAGAAACTGTAATACTAAGAACCTGAAGAAATGAACACATTTTAGAATACGATGTTTATTTAAATTAAATAAACATAATATACGTAGAAAAATATATTATATCAAAGCTATAGTATAATATCAGCTTCAATATCATTATGTACATTTTCATGATTATAATAAATTCGTGGACATTTAAATTTGATAAGTTTCGAAATAGAGAACAAATAAAGGAAAATTCTTGGAAATAAAAGTTTCAAATTGAATAAAATTTGTACATAAAAATAGTACAAGAACAAATAATTTGTTTAAAAATAATTTGTTTTGTAATATCTATATTTTGACCATCATAAATTAAGAAGTCTGTTATTATATTACTATATATTCATAGGTTCAATTTGAAATTTCAATAATGTCAAATAAAATAGTTTATTTATCTGGTGGAACTCTTTTTAATAAATGTTTCAAAATAACTTGTTTCTACGAAACTTTTATTACATCCTAAAATATCTGTGAAAACACTTTTTAAAGAAACTCCTAAGAATTTATGAAAATTTGACAGGAACAGATATTGATATGAAACGAAACAGAAATGAAACATAGTCTTAACAGAATTTTTTGAAAAACAAAAGATAACTATTTTCTTTTTGTTTTTAACTATTGGTAAAGTATGCAAACTGAAAGAATATCTAAAATATCCAAATATAAATAAATATCTAACAATGCATACTTTTCCAGGCCACCAAGGGAATCCATGAATCTTTCCCCACACCACGTCACCAACGTCCATTCTTCTACCGTTAGCAGTCAGACAATGTTCGACAGGTGTCGCAGCAAGACGCATCATCAGAGGATGAGACTGCGGCGGAAAGTCTGGAGCTGTTTCACCGGCATCGACTTCAGGTTCCTGTTCACTCAGTTCATCACTGCTCGCGCCAGGAGTCTTGCAACCCGATGAAGAGTTACTCACAGGGTAATCACATCTAGCATAAGCGTTTGTATTCAACCTCTTGAGAGATATGGATAATTTTTGCTTCAGGCACTGCTCCTTTATGGCTGTGTACGACTCGCTACCCGGAAGAACATTCCAATTCTGTTGATTTTCGGTACTTCCGGATTCCAAGCAAGGCTGCTGATGCTGCGATTGTTGGCTCTTGTGTTTACGGTCCTCCTTGTGCTTCTTTTTATGCTTCACTTTATGCTTACGACGATGATACGATAATGTATCGTATGTTGGATTGTAACTATAAGAGAAATGACTGTATTATACATTATATCGTAAATTTAAAATATAATAACTATAAGAAAATTTATTACACTACTATTGATATCAATTAATATGTCCAAATTTAAATTTAAATCTTATTTTTATACTATTTTATACTACAAAAATTTAAAACAATAAGAGTGAAACATAAAGAACCTGATAAAAAAACTGAAAACAGTTTTTACTTGTTGGAAAATAAGAATATGTGTAAATACAAATATTCTTATTTTATAACCATTCTATAGAATTGCTAATAACTAAACTGCGGATTTATAGGAAATTTAAAACTGCGAAATTGTAGGAAATACATACAACACGCATGACTTAATAATGCTTATCTCAAAACATTTGCTACGTGAAACGTTATTTTTCTAAATCATATTCTCAGGAACATGAATCTGCATAAAAATCCGCAGTCTATTAATAACCAATATTTTTAGGGCAACTATTTTACCGCGGAGATCCATTACAAGGAGATCTCGCAGGCGAAACTCCACCAAGCATTTTCCTCCTGGCCTCTTTCTTAGCTTTCTTCAATGCGCGTTTCGCAGCCTTCGCACTGGCATCCTTCACACCTTGTTTCTGAGGATCCACCTGCTCCTGTCCGTCTTCCTCTCCGTCCTCGCGATAATCGTAATCGTTATCGAAATTTTTTGGCAACTCCAACGGGTCTTTCTCCATCTGCGCGTCTTCGGCGTCGTCGGTTTCCTGTTCGTACTCAGGATCTTGGATCTTGGAGGGTATTTTCAACACAGTCCCTTCACCCTGAGCACCGAAAGAAATCTTAATCACCGGTGTAGTTCTGGCTGTTCTCGTCGGGTCTTCGAACACAGTTTCGTCCCATAAATCTTCCATAGATCCGACGGATCGTTTCTTTCGCGGCACACGACCCGTTCTTGGCCTCATTGTCGAGTCCGCGGCCGCGAGCGTTTTCTTCTCCTCTTCCTCAGGTATTTTCGCACTCTCCACGGAAGAGCTGCTAAGCCTTCTGGGCGTGGCACAATACGCCATTGATGGATTGCTGTCACAATCCGTTGATTCCATGCGTTCCTCCGTTGGTTCCATCGCGTTCGCCGACGAGTCACCCTCCTCGGCTCGGTTGTTCCAATACGACGGATCGATCTTCACCTTTTCTACAAGGATAGGAAAAAAGAAGAAAATATGAGAAATTGTATGGCTAATATCTTAAAATTCTTTTAATTAATTTCTTTTCTTTTTCAAACTATTCTCAGTTTGTTTAGAATAAAAAATATGTGTAGAATTCATGTTTAAACTAGAAAATATGTATAGAACTCATAGTTAAGGACAAAAATGTTCGGTTAATAGAATTTCCAGATAGAACAATTTTTCTAATATTATACTCCATGTAATTTCCAAATAGAAATACTTAAGTTACATTCTTTTTGTATTTTAAACCATCGAGTTTAAATCTTTTCCTAAATGCCTCGTCATTTTGCTGTTTCATCTTCCTATTAAAATAATTAATTATATTGCATTATTATTATAGTATCTTGTACTTTAACAAATTTTTTCCAGAAATATGAAAAATACATCCAAAATAATAATACATGTAAAATGATTTACTACAACAAATTTACTACTAAATATTCTATTATAAAAAATATTATTATTATATTAAAAATATTATTCTTCTATCGTAATATTCTATAACAAAATATTCCGGTAATCACAGGACTAAAAGTATTCAGATATGGCTGTATTATATTTAGGTATATAAGACTTGCAATGAAGTTTTGTAAATGTTAGAAAGAAAAAAATTTTATTATATTTATGTTTATTAGAAAAAAATCATATAAAATATTATATTATCTATACAGTTTTACAAATCGTAGTTTTTTCATCCATTATACTATTCTACTTCTTCTACAGATAATTCTACACTTTCCACAAGTCATTCACACATGAAGATTTAAACAATTTTAAATGTGCATATTCAGGCTTCTCATAAATGCGAAAAAATTTAATCTTATGTTAAGCATAACTAATTGAAGCTTACAAAAAAACAATTCTACGTCAATAGTTATGAATATATCACGTGTATGAATATGTGCCATGATGAATATATATCATATCACGTGACATAACTAATCATGATTAAAATAATATAATTAAGTAATTATTAGAAATATCGTGTTTCTCGTTTAAAACGAAACGTTTGATCGTTCCAGCTGTTGACAATAATAAAATATTTTATTTGACTTCTGAAGCAGACAAATTTTTCATTTGTCCCGATGATCAGTCTTGCACATTCGTCTCGTCGTAATTAATAATTTATTGAAATTGTGCATATATTTCACGGACAAGCTTATTATCTGCAAGTGGATCTTATATAATTCTACTAAGCCAGAGATAGTTATTTTAAACACTTTCTTCGAGGATAAGCTTCTACTAAAAGATTAAAGCTACATGTTATGAAGCACTCAAGTACAAAAAGCAAAAATCAATAATCAAAATCTTTATGTAACATGCAGAAAAAAGAAATTCACAGAATTCCACAACCAGCTTCATAATTTAAAATTATTTTAAAACTTTCCACAAACTGCTGGCAAGTATATATTCATCGCTCGTTATGTTAATCGGTATTATATAAATTAATGCATTATTTTACTCTTTATTGCGATCGTTCTTATCTATATACATCAAAAACATATTTTCATGAAAGTTGTTTGATACAGAGCGGCGCGTTATATGTGGTGGAAATCACTTTTTTGTAGATGAAATCAAGAGGGAAATTTCGAGAGGTCAACTTCATTTTCTTAAACGGAACTACATGATTCTGAATGCATCAATCGATTTTTCTGATCAATAGAAAAATTTATTATTAACCTATTTGTGTCGAAAAACTACTGGTTTAGAAAATATTTTAGCTTCAATTTTTTGTGAAATCATATAAGCGATATAAGCGATATCCTTATGTTTCACACGATAGACTTTACGAAATTAAATCCTGAACCTATGGTTTTTTAACAGAAATAGGTTAATACTTTTTATAAAGAATAAACCAAATGCCATGCACAATATATAATAATAATCTATCTTTATCGAGAACTATTTAGAAATTTAGCAAACGATTTCTGAAATATCTATCTTGCTCTAATAAACACATAATCAAAAAAACGTGATAAAATTCTTAAAAAATCATCATATTAGGAAATAGATTTTTTTTTTTTCAATTTTTATCAAGGATTAAGACAGAAAAGTAAAAGATTTCATTTTTAATGAAAAATATTTACCATTAGCTTGCATGGCATTGTTGATTTCATTCGGTTGAAGTCTTGAGATTTTTGGGATGAGAGACGGCACAAGCTTCGACGAGTCGGGACTGAGTGCTGTAGACGACGAGGACTTGGCTGTTTGATGAGATGACATCGTGATGTTCTCCGACTGACATTCGGAGAACAGTATTCTCGAAGTTTTTTGCGGCTGCTGGCCGCAACGTCGATCGCTCCTTCGAGTGGCGCCATGACCCGTGACCTAACCGAATCAAAAAAAAAAAATCATACATTTTTACCAATAAGTCAAATGTCCTCGTATTCTGGTTTTGCAAAACATACCAATGGAATCGTTTAATATAAAGTATAATCAAGACTGAATACACAATGAGTCAAAAAAAAAAAAAAAAAAAAAAAAAAACACCGACATATCCGCTTTTCTTGAAATTATACAATTTTATATTTTTGGGTCTAGCAGGAAATCGAATTGAAAAATTTTCAACAAAAATTGGAGGCAGCTCCATTTTTTATATATTTACTCCATTAAAAAAATGTATAGTATGTATTTTGAGACAGATTATCACAAATTTATATAGCTGATATTTAATTGTTTTTTAATAAATTTTACTTTACGAAAATTACTTACTTATTTAAATTACTTTACTTATAAAATTTACTTTACTTTACTTAAATTTACTTTACTTTGCTTCTTTGTTGCAGCAGCTCTTTCGATTGGACTTTGAGAATTTTCGACTAACGACAAAAAAAGATGAATTTTGTTCTTATGATTTAGGAGTGTCAATTACAATAGAGTACGAAATCGTATATTTATATGTAAGTATATAACAATGAATACTCGAAATATTCATAGAAAATGTAATATTTACAATGCAATCATCAGACATAAATCCAATTGAATATTTGTGGTATTGTTAGATTTAAAAATTGGGAAAGATCAATAGAAATGATATGAAAAGAAAATATTGTTAGAAGAATAGTCAAATATTTTTCCAGATATTTCAAAAGAGATTAGTCAAGTTACTGTCGAATGTATGTACAAAAATATGGAGCATAATAAATATTTCTTTTGTATAGAATAATAAAATAATATATTGTATATGATGTATTTTATGACCAAATTACCAAATAAAAGTGTGCCCTTTTGATTGCAAAATTTTCATTTTTCTTTCACTGAGTGTTCTAATTCCGAATACATAATAAATGTTTAAAAAAAAAACATTAAATACTTGCTATCGATACATCAATATTCTATACGTAAAGATATTTCCAAAAAAGTTATACCATCTTTGATCCACTGTACATAAATTAAATAAAATTAATTAAAATTGAAATATATAATAATCATTATAAATGACCATTTCAATCAAAGTCATTTTTACACGATTCCACATAGACCGAAGTATTTCAGATTCATCTAAATTATTATAAAATAAACATTGTTAAGATGCAATTGAAATGTATCTCGCAAATTTTGTCCAAAAATTTTAAGACCACTGATAAAACACCAAATATAAATCAAAGCCTGAGCACTACGAAATCACAGAAAGCACTTTAATAAGATTCTCACTATCTGACGCGGAGCCAGCGAAATAAACTGCCGTAAGACTAAACACGTGTACTTGGCGGGAACGTGTCAGCATTAAATGTACGATCAGAGCACTTTGCGTTCGAGACTTTTGCACTCGAGAAAGAAGTTACACACCAGAATCAAACTGCTATACGCGCGATGCCTCTTTAGAAGACAACGGCGTTAAGCTGCTTCAAGTTCAAAATCGCATGACTTTCCTCCTCAACACAGTTGCCTGGCGTGTTCATTCGACCGAAGTTTCCTACAACCCAATTTGTTCCTTCACTCGCGCCTCCACTCTCACGAGTTCCCTCGCCGACGCCACCAAGTTTCCGCAACCTCCATCGTATTTGACGATTTTTACCGCCCGTGCTGTTACAACAATAAAGTTTGTTAAGAAACTCGGTGGACGTGAAGCGAGTTGTAAATTCGGCTCGCGTCTCCTTTGTTGTATTGGATGAAATAATTCGAGCGCGAAGAGAGGAACACTTTTCCAAAGTGAAAAAAAAAAAAAAAAAAAAATCAGTAACAATTCAGAATCGCAAGATATAAAAATTTCAATTTGGTTACAAATAACGGGAAAAAAGTCAACAAGTCGCAGACTTTTGACAGGAATATTAATCTTAATTTTTTTACGATACCGGAACAATCTGTTAGACTATTATGAATACTTTGTTCCAAAGTGAGGAAGTATAAGCTGACAATCAGGCGAAAAGCAGTAGCTCTCCTAAATGTTTCACAATAAATCGTAAAAACTTAGTTACCTTGCACTCTTTCGAGAACAATTGTGTAAGTGTTAAAATAATGAATCCAAACTCTAATACTGACCTTGTTAAAGAGTAATATTAATAATAAGAGTCATTTATCTTGAAAGTGACACAAGTCTTTAGAGTAATGAAAAATGACGATTCGTTAACGTATGAAATTATATACTGAGAAAAATATATAAATATCCGAGACGAGTACAAGTCTTCTCGAAATAACATCAATTTTTCTAAGCGACTTAAACACAAAATAACTTGTACCACATTCAAACAGAAATTTAGCTGCTCTATATATATATATATGTATAAGACTGATTTATATCATCGAGAGATAATACATTCGTAATGCTCAACGATAGATAAATCGGTTAAGAAAACAATGCCTAATTATGAGAGTTCGAAAAATAATCGAATATGAGTAAGCGCAATAAATCTCCCTCATCGATAATAGTTATTGGTATCGAAAAAAAATGTTCGGTCGCTAGAAACGATTTTAATCGAAAAAATAAATGTTATGCTTTCGATTCTAATAATTCCTGTTTTTGACTTAAATGTAGTTTTCGAAAAAAATATTTGACATGTGTTTTTATTGGCAATCGGCCATGTTAAAGGGGTGTAAACTACCCTCAAAGTAATTGGGACCGCGGAATTTATTTCGTTAAATATCTCGGAAATTACTGAAGATTTTGTGTAAATTGATGAAATTGGTGTTTTTTTCAACGACGAATATACCATTTTGCGAAAAAAACCATCTGTTCAAACGATACATTTAAAAAAGCGTATTTTTCATAATTTTCTAATAGTTCCCCCAAGTAAATGTTGATACATACTCTTGAATATTTAATACGAAAACTACTTGTCCAAATGGTCAGTCAATATTCGGCTAAGCGAATCCTTCGAACTCGGTCGTCGTTAGAAGACTCCTGAAGCTGTCTGAATCGAGTAGAAGCCATCTATCTCATTGTGTAACAAAGACAGTATCAATTCAAGTCAGAGTCATTCATTCTCTCGGTGAGAAATCAGTGAGTGGTCCTGATCCTTCGGCAACAAGTGACACAAGCAAAAGGTACAGAAACAACGACATCAACAAAGTCATCCGTGTCCTTAACAAATAAAAATTTAGAAACTATCCTCAGTCCTTCCTTCATGAAGAGAAATAGAGAGAGAGAGAGAGAGAGAGAAAAGAAAAAAATGGCGGTACGTATTACCTGCTGTTGCTGCGGCTGCTGCTGTTCCTGCTGAATCTCATCGTGCTTCCGTTTTCTGCTGACGTCCACGTTCTCGCTATTCTCGTTACAGATCGATCTACACTTGCTGCAGAGGACCTGACGTGGCCTGAGCCTGACCGTTGGCCTCGCATTCTTGTACCTGGCCGGTGGATTGATGTTCCTACGTAGATCGACTTTTGCCGTGGTCAGCGTGTTCTTTCTCTCTTGGAAATAGCTGAATCGGGCCGCGATCGTCGCCAATTTGTCGCCATCGGGGTCCGGCACAGGTTCCGGGGGTTGTACGCCACACGGCAGGCCTCTGAAAATAAGGATGATTGTTAATCATGGGTCGATCAATGGTTGAGTGTTATTCGGTTCGAATATCGCGGGCAATTTCAGAGATTTATACACATTGCGGTATTACATGGATACTTGTTTTATGAACAACGCATGTGCACATGCATGTATATAGATGCGTTAAATGATTATTGCTGGAAATTTGTACACAACAGGTAACAACAGGCGCAATCACGGTAAATACTAGCGGTATTCGCGTCAGTTCCCTCTACCATTACAAGGATTATGCTACAATTAGGAGATTAGCTAGATTAAATATGTAATATGTGTTGGTGTAAGCACGTATTTGAAACAAAAATGAATACTCAGAGAACTGCCTCTTTCACAAAGAACTTGCATGTGGTATCACTAGAGAATTAGTAGTAGAAAGTTATTAAAAGTAAAATAAAACTAAGTATGACAAGAACAGTATAATAAAATTAAATATATATAGATAAGCATAGCAGAATTAAAAGCATAGTACTAAAAAGTTATTATTAAAAGTATTATTAGATATAGATCCGTAGAAATTAATACAATGCAATAATATAATAATAGACAAGCATTTTTTTTTAAAGAACTTTTTTAAGAAAATTGGTATACTATAGTATTGTTAGAATATTATTAAAAGTATTATTAGACATAAGCACATATTTAAATGAAAATTAATACTATAGACAGACATCTTTTTTAAAAAAAGATGTTTTTTTGTGACATTTACATAAATTTATATATTACTAAAATCAGGATATCATTAAAAATACAATAAAGCTTCCCATTAGCTAAATATTCTAATATACTCCAACAGAATATTTATTAAATGTCTTCTCTTATACTTATTTATTAAATATCTTCTCTTATATTACATCATGTTATATATAGGGTGGTATTCATATAACTTACACACATAAAGTAACTTTTAATGCGTCTAATGAAAAATTGTTTGATACAAAAGTTTTAAGAGAGGCAATACTTTGCCGTTGCCTATACTTAGCATATCAATTTTTTGTATATTTCGAAGTTTCTAAAGTCATCTTTATTTTTTTTAGTTGAACCATATATCTTTTTCGTCGTAAATCAAAACAATATTAAATTCCAACTAAAAAAGTATCAAGCCATGTTAGTCCTAAACCTAATGGTTAAGCAGATATTTTACGATAATTTGTCTCGAGGATGAAAACTACATAAAGCTATATTTTGTCTCCCTTCAAACCAAACAACTTTTGTATTGAACAATTTTTCATTTAGAAGCATAATTTAAAAGTTATTTCAGGTATGCAAGTTACGTGAATCTCTGTATACTATTACATCTCATACATATTCTTGTTGAAATTTATAACAAGATTTTATCAAAATGTGCTAGAGTGATTATAATTTTGTATAAGAATTAATTTTGTTTCTAACTAACAAATATGTTAGATATAATTTATTTATTTATTCACAGAATAAAACAGAATACATCTTCTTACAATATTCAATATTATAGAATGACTTATAATTTGAAACACAAGAAGAATATATTTACTTGTACTAAAAAAAAAAATAACTTAATAGCCAAGGAAATATAATATTCTTGAATATTGAAATAAATTAACAATTTTCCTGACTTCTAGTTTGGTGCAACTGAATACTTTGATTCTTTTATACCATCTCTATTATTAAAACAATATTTTGTATTATTATTAAAATATTAAATATATAATAATATTAATATATAATTATGTATAAAATATTAATATATAATAATATTAAATTATTATTATATATTATCAGAATAATATTGAATTATTAAATTATTAAAATACTCATTAGAATAATAATAATTCTATTGTATTCATTATTAGAATAATATTAAAACGCATCTTATCCCTTAATATTTTATATTAAGAAAAGACCAAGTTCCATAAGAAGCTTCATGTCACCTGTCAATCAATTTATGTATATTTATTTAACGTCACATACATTAGTTATTCGTCATGAATAATATATGAATATCGCGAAATGTCGAATTATCGAAACAATCGAAATTACCTATATTACAAATTTTATTCCTAACGTTCTATTTCTGTTTCCACGATTATGATTTCCTTTTATTCGTTGAATTTTTTATTACTAGGATTCAGCACCGGTGGAAGAAGAGGAATCGATTGGGCGAGCCAGTGGACTGGGAATTCGAACGCCACATTGCTGGATATCTAGGTCATTGACAGACTGTTTCCTTCTGAGCTTCACAGTTTAATGTATCGTGTTGTTTATGACAAGCCTAGTACAGGCCGATAATTTTTTCCCGCGTAAGGTATTAACTAAAAATTGCGCGAGAAATTGAACGATAAAATGTGTACTTCGGCAGCATCGCAATTTAATGTATCGAGTTGTTTTCCCCAGACTGATAATTTTTTCGAAACGAAGAAGAATATAATCAAAACTTGGGCGAGATATTGAAAGAATGAAATATGTACTCAGCGACTACATTCTATTTTTGAAAATTTCGAATCAATTTCGACTGTTCTAATTTTAATGTTCTAAGTAATATAAATTCATATAGGAATTACCTAATTCATTACAATTTATGTAAATTATCCAATTAATTCTAATTAATTAATTCGTGTGAATTATCTAATTTATCTAATTCTATTCAGGAATTATCTAATTAATCTTTCACAATTTATTATGAATTATACTTTGTGTTTGACTTTATCAAAATGGAGGAGTGACTACATGTGCCAATCTATGTTCCTCGCACTAATTTAATTTTTTGATCATATTTAAGCAGTATATTTAGATTGATACTTCTAACGTTATAAACAAGCAAACAGACTATAATGATCTACTTTAATAGCTGTGTTCCAAGACCGGATGTAACAATATCCGAAAATAGCTACGCTTAACGAGAATATCATTAAAAACAGAATTTTAACAAAAATATACGAAACTACAATCAATGAAAGAAGCATTTTACTTCTGCAAGTTAAAAATTTGAGAGTTTGGAGGGTTTATTTTTGAAAATATAATATAATATATTTTTAAATATATAACATGATATTTTGTTATATTATATTCGAAATATAATACATTTTGAAAATATATTACTTTTACGACGTTATATCGCTGATTCAAAGATGGAAAAAAGGCTTATCATACTGTCAATCATTTGTAAGTAGAATTAACTTTTTATTTGTTGGACAGCTGTTTCACAGCTATTGATCCACTCAAATATATCACAAATTCCTCCATCGTAAGTCTGCCATTTATGAATATCCTAATAAACCGATGGAAGGAAGAGAACCTAACAATTAATGGAGACAATACTGAAAATACTGAAACTTTATTATATACATCCAAGTCATCTACGTAGTAGATGATAGTAATTTCAAGCAGCATTAATTTAATTTTAATAGTATGTTTCGACTTCTCTTTACAAAAAACGTTTCCCTCAGAAGTCACAGTAGTGTCTTCGTTCTTTTTCTCTTTCGACGGAATGTGAATCATTAAGATATTCGTCGGTGCGTCACAAGAACACAGCTGCGAACGAGCAACTGTTGCAACCCTGTTGAAGCATATTTTCACGCAATCTTCAATTCCTCTACTGTATGACTGCTCGAAATTAAACGACATTTAGATGAAAAATTCTTTCTTCAATTTCACATGCTGATAAACAAGATAATCATTAGTCTATATTTATTCTTATAAATGTTTCGGAATAATTAAAATAAAACGAATATCATGAAAAAAAAAAATATTTTAAATAACATGAATAAAAAAATTAGACAATACATTTTTATTGTATTTTTTGTTCTAGTATTATGTTTTACGGACGCACGCTTTCACCGTATTTTGCATTTTGTAATATAACGTTTTATAAAAATAAAATATTCCGTCCCATGGCATCAATAAAAAAAAATTCTAAATAACCTGACCAAACTAGACAATATAAAATTCAAAATACGCTTTCGTTGCGTTTTTGTTAAAAATGTTCTTCCCTGCAGACAAAAACATCGATAAAAAAAATTTCAAATAACTTGAATATTTTAGATGATATTACAAAATTCAGAATGACATTACGTGTAAATAAAGATTCAATATTCCGTCTCGCGAGCAAAGCGTATTTTCACGTAGCGATCAAACTGTTAAACGCAATCTTCGAAAATTCTTGATAAAATAAATTCATAAATAAAGCTTACATTATTAACATTCTATTACATTTCGCATACAATTCATATTTATTCTCTGTATACATACATATATATATATATATATATATATAATTTTCTATACATGCTAATATTTAAAAACAAAACAAAATTAAAAGCCCTTAATATGACTAGAGGTATCCTGAAGGCTCATAAAGTATCAGGTAAAAGCGTGTAATACAGAGTCAAGAGCATAATGACGGCAAAGACGACAGAATCGCCGTCGAATCGGTGGATTTAAAGTGTTTTTAATATCGCAAAGATTACACACATTCGTATATGTGTATACTTTGGGCATGAAAAAGAAAGAGAGAAATTAAAGATCCATGACGTATCTCATGAAAATTACGGTGAAATTACAGCGAAGGAGGAACGGAAGAAAGGGGCGGGAGAGAGGGGTTGTCGAAATCGCGAGTGCGCGGTACACGCGTTTAATGAAATGTAAGAGGGAAATGATATTGATCCGAGTAGATCGAATCGCGGTAAGATAATGAAGACCTTTCGTAATGAAAGTACTATTATCATAATAGCCTTCTGAGACTACATTCGCCAGCGATGAAACACGTAAGCAGCTAACCAACACACCGTAGGCACAGTGAAGTCATTGTACGCCTCAATTGCGATTTCGTGACCGTGGGCTGCTCTCTCGCTAAGCTTCGCGGAGAGATCTGCTAGAAAATAAATAAAACGAGCTAAAATGGAATCTTAAGCGACGTGGTAAATGGTGAACCGGAATCGTCGGATATTTCACGCGCGTTTCACGGGTTTTTCGAGAAGCTGGTTCACAGAACG